ATAGTTTTATCAGTTTCTCGCTCGCTTCGAGCGCGAGAATGAGTCTTTAACTGTCTTTCGCTTCGAAGCACGCAGGATCCCCTTAGAGATGCAGGACTTGCACCGGTGACCCCGAGCAGCACACGACGAACTTGTAGCAGGCGGGTCGGGACGTCGAGAGTGCAGCTTGAAGGCACACAGGCGGAATATATATAAGTAGCTCCAATTTTAAAAGTCGCAGAGGCATGACAGGAGATGCGTGAGTACGAATTCTGTTGTGGACGTCGATAAACGTCCTACTGATGGGAAGATGGCAAACTCCGGGAAGGTCATCGAGCTCACGGGTATGCAAAATCGGGGGGTATCATCAATGTAAGTTTGATGACCTTGTACGGGTACCGACGCTATATGGCAGTGCTGCCCACAAATTTTGGGCTGGTGAGAAGTCTTTCCTCGCAAATACTCCCGTACTACTCAAGTGGAAGCGCGGGCAGAGTCGATCAACGGAGCATCGATTGCTCTCGAACTCGGTTTGTTATCCCAAGCGCCAGACCGAATATGCAGTACTGTACAACTCACGAGTAACCTAGACACAGTTCCACGGCTAGCATACTGTACAAGTGACAAGAAGATCGCGACGGCCATTCGTCAAAGATTGGTAGGGTCTGTCACTGCACCCTCGGAGTCGGCGTTTCATAGCCAGAATCGAACAACGCGACTTCGAGCCTGAGGGCGGATCGGAATAGATCCGTCGCCTGCGTGCGTGATTGACTCGAAGACCACGCTGATTCGTTCTGGTCCAAGAACACTGAAGCGGCTCAATGAGCAGTTAGGCGTGTAATTAGCCGTGGATAAAACCTACGCGATAGTGCCTTGGCTGACGACGTGAAGTCCGGCTGGTTCGGGTTAGTGAGATCAAGGTTGGCTTGGATCCAATACTTGTAGAAAGTCGTCGTCTTGTCGGTGGTGGGGTCGTTATAGAGCTTCAAAGCGAGCTTGCACCAAGCCTGGTTACATGTAACCGGGTATCAGCAACAATCAATAGGCGCATCTGCGAGCACTGATCTCACCCAGTAGCACCCGATGAGGATCACATGAAGGTTGTACCAATCATCGGACCGAGCATTGTTCTGAAGAAATTGCGCATATGCAATCTCTGCGATAGACCGCTCTACCTTGAACTGGCTCTCGGTAACTCCGAGGTTATTGATGCAGGTTTGAAACCAGTCTTTGACATAGCTGGTGGTCCGAGACACAGACGCGAGTTCGTTGTCGAGAGCATCAAGGTTAAAGTCGTCATGAGGGAGAGTGGCGAAGCGCAGGGCTCTAAAGCCGACCCAATCGACAAGATAAAAGTAGTCTTGCTACAAACACGACATATCATGACAACGAGATTAGGGTCATGATAAATGCGAACACTAATCACCTACCACGGCATATTTCTTGAAGGCTTCCAGAGCATCCCTGTCGCCTTTAGCAGCGTTGATACAAAGCTTGTTGTTCATGAATGAGTCAACAATGGTCTTGTTGTTAGGGTCATTCCAGAACCTTCCGATTACGACGCTGCGATGAAGGTATCAGTAAGTTTACTAGCATGAATCCGACATGAGCTGAACGGCCTCACTCGGGAGTGTCTTTGGTGCTTGCATCGAGGACTTTTTGCATATCGGCAGCACCTATGCCTCGATTGATGGCAAGGCTATCTTCAACGATACAGACCGTCGCTATACCCGCACGCGGCGGAAGAAAAGGGATAAGAGTCGCATCATGCTTATCCAGGACGTCATGAAGTATGTTCCGTCGGTATGCGCCAGGTGCAGGCATCACGGATAGTCTAGTCTCGCAGACGAGGAGCACTGTGGGTGAACTGACTGAACACCCAGACGCGAGTCCTATATAAGTTTGGCTGGGGTCGTAGAGTTAAGGTGCATCCATTGCCGTTGTCGCGTTCTATTCCTGAGACTGAATGGCAGGAGCCGGCACCTGCTGGCACATATAGCGATCACCCTATGCAGTCAATTGAGAAACACCGTTTTGAAAGAGATGCTCGAGTAATGCGGCCACCCTGAAACGATAACTCACACGAGAAGAGAATTCTAAGAGAGAGTTACGACAAAGACCATGAGTTCGCCGTGTTTCATTTTGATATCTCTATCATCTTGCTCCGATCCTCCACCGGTCGAATGATGGCACCGACCCTCTGTATCTGTATCAAATATGAGTACCGGGGCTAGGATGTGTCCGAACCGGTGGCATGACCATAGGCATGTGACCGTACGAGCCTCGCGATGCCGAGGTTGAGCATAGAGATCTCACTCAGTCTCATTAGCCGGTTTTCATCTTATACATAATGTGGTGCATGCCGTTACGATACATATGACATCTTGACGTTGT